GTGAGGAGTACGGTATAAGGAGTAAAAAGACAAGCTTGTCCCTGCTGATATGCGGCCAAGAAAAACGCGCATTTAATGCGCCATTAGTTGACAAGACATTTACTGTGGCTTGATAAGCCAAAAAGTTACAACATTGAATGCTTGGGAATCCGGGCTTTTAATGCTGCCACGAACAAGAAGGATCATTAAATACTCGGCAAGCCGAGCAATCAATATTGGGACATTCCCCATCAAAAGTAAGGGGCACACTGTCCCACATCTGAAGGCTATCAGTAGTCTAGATTATCAGCAATGATGAGCCTTAGAAGGTATAAATAGTCTGCAAAAACACATTGCAAAGGTACGCAATATTGCCTCACAAGAGCCATACAACGTTTTCTTCATCCCCTCTTCTCTAAAAGAATTGACTTGACCGTTGGAGGGGGTACGCCGGAGAACACTCCGACACCCTTCTAACTTATTCTCTGTGTTCCAAGAATTTCTTGTGGATCTCCAGAATCGGTTTGACATCACCAGTAGCAATTCATCACCACTCCTTAGGACCTCTTTGTCCCTCTCAACTTATTCCTTGTTGTCGGATCCACCGTTTCAACGGGTCGAATCTCACCTAGAGTCAATCGGATACCCCAATAAGCAAATCATTACAACAACTTAAGCCTCCTTTGTCCCTCTCAACCTATTCCCATTCTGTCAGAACCGCCTTCTCGATGAACCAGAGTTCATCGTGGGAGAGATCTGTTCCCATTTCAACTATTATGCAAAAATCAGCACACACAAAAACCATCAATGAACAGTCCAAGAAGCATCATATTACTTCCTACAAAGAGATCTCAGCTATAGTTGATCTTGTAAAAGAAGATTTCTCCCCTCAACTGGAAGCATACCAGCTGAAACATACTCTTTATCAGCTCGATCCTTAACACCTTGATTAGCTAAAAAATTAGCAACTGAGTTTAACTCGCGATAAATGTGATTTATTTCAAACTTTAAAGCATGGAGAAGCTGCTGTAACTGACAAATTAAAGGCCTGTACTTTCAGCTGCATTCAAACTGAGCCTTAATCGTATTCACCATAATTTGAGAGTCCGTCTCAATGATAAGCTGGTATTCAGACAAGCCAAAATTATGATACAACTTTAACCCATCCACCAAAGCCCGGATTTCAGTTGCCATATTAGTACCTATCCCATAGTATTTAGAAGATGCTAAAACTAGCCGCCCCCTCTTATTACGCAAGACAGCACCTCCGCCAAAACACCCCAAATTTCCTTTTGCTGATCCATCCACATTTAACTTTAACAAACCATCAACTGGATAAGTCCAAGAGACCCATAATACCCTTGTTCTGATCGTTGAAGGCTTAACATTCAAATAGGAAAGAAGCTCATGCCCTTGCCTAGGTTCTGTAACCTTAGGGCTAATAACATACGTCTAAGAAGATATAATATGCTTAATTATAATAACAAAAGCAGCAAAATTCAACCGTGAACCTTCAAACGTCCCTTCTCCACCTTTCTGCCCATATTTGCCAAAATATAATCAAAGAAAATCCTCTTATAAGACCATGTGTAATAGATTGCTTAGCATAAATTCTGGACAACCTCCTGAACCTCACTAAAGGCCCTTCACTAAGCACCAAAGTGAACCCAATTAAAGAAGAAAAAGCTGCCCACACAGCTTGAGCATATGGACATTGAGTAAACAATGATTCACTGTTTCAGAATTTTTCATACACAAAGAACACCTACTTGCAATAGCAATACCACTGGACATAAAATTAGAATCCAATGGTAGAGCACGCTGCAAAATCGTCCAACCTACAAGGTGAGTAGTTGGCGATATTTGCTGCTTCTAGATAAGTCCAACAGTCATATTTGGCAACCCATGCTGCCTTCATATAGACCATGTTGTTTTGACAGAAAACTTGCATGTGGATGATGGGGTCCAAACTCTAAGATCCTATTTATCAAAATAAGAAATTTGACATGAGGTAATCTCACCAAGCAATTGATCAGACAACTCAAGGCATAAAGAAAAATCCCACTGGCCATTAGAATAAACTTCATTCAGCTTTGAAAAATGCTCTGGATGCTCATGAATTCTTAAAATTAATGGACCTTGACTTGTCCAACTATCACACAAGAAATCAACAACTGCCCCATCTCCCACTACCATTTGTGTATGCAAGACCACAGTCTCAAACCATGGAGACAACATTCTATAGCTTCTTGAATAAGAATGCCTCAAACATCTAAGAACATGCTGTCAATGAAGATATTTAGCAGAGAAAATCCTGGACCAGAGAGAATAACTATTCAATAGATTCCAAACCTGTTTCATCTGAAAAGCTTTAGCAATAACCTCAAACTTCCTTAACCCAAGACCACCTTCTTCCTTTGGAGCCATCACATTAGCCCATGAATACCAATGCCTTTTTCTAGCTGTAGCTTTGCTAGACCAAATAAAAGATTCCATGATAGAATTCATTCTCGCAATAGCACCTTTAGGAAGATTCATACGTGCTAGAAGATGCACAACCAAAGCACTTAAAACTGATTGAACTAAAACTATTCGACCCATATTAGACAACATCTTGGCATACCACCCCTCTATTCTTGATCTAAAATTTTTCAACAGGTCCTTAAAGTAGATCATCTTAGGTCTGCCCTTAATAATAGGACAACCTAAATAAGTAAAGGGACAATTCCTAATAGGAATTTGTGAAGCACGATGCAAAACTCCTCTTTTTGTAGGTGACATATATGATGAACATAAGATTGTGCTTTTAGACAAATTCACAGCCTCATACCTTGAAATAAAAGAAAGCAAATTCACCATAGAGCGCTTATCACCTTTCAAAAAAAAAAAAAACTAACGTATCATCTGCAAATAGCAAATGACTTAACACAATAGCTCCCCTTATAGTATGAAAATGCTTTACCAGGCCCTTTTGAAAAATGTCTCTTAGTCCTCTACTCAAAACCTCTTCAACTAGAATAAAGAGACTTGGGGACAATGAATCCTCTTGTCTCACACCCCTTGTTGTATTAAAAAAGCCATATCTTTTCCCATTTAAAACCATTGTTGTATACTGATTTTGCAAAAAATTTGAAATGATTGAAACAAATAACTCAGAAAAGCCAAAATGATGAAGTGTTTCTTTCAAAAAATCTCATTCCAATCGATCAAATGCCTTCATCATATCCAATTTCATAATAATATTTCCCCCCTTAACTTTCCTATCCATCTCATCCACCATAAACTGTGCCATAGAGATACAATCCCCAATATGCCTCCCTTTCACAAATCCATGTTGCTCTTCAGATATAATAGATGACAATATTACACTTAGTCTCGTAGCCAAGATCTTAGTGAATATTTAATACAAAAAGTTACATAAACTTATGGGTCTAAACTCTGAGAAATGAACTGGACTTAAGGCTTTAGGAATAAGAGACAATAAGGTTGTATTAACTGACCATGGTATGACTCCCCCTTTCATAAAATAATTAACATCAAGAAAAATATCTTCTTTGATTATCCCCCATGCTACTTGATAAAATTTCCCAGAGAAGCCATTAGCTCCTGGGGCACTTTCAACTGGCATAGAAAAGACATCATCATGTACTTCCTCCATAGTAGCTTGTGTGGTAAGCATAGAATTATCAGCCACTGTAACCAAAGTTGGAATAACTGAAAACAACTCCACCAAGAGTGTGAATCTCTAATGCATAAAGCCTAGTAAAAAATTGCTCAGCACAAAGAGCGATTTGCTGCTCATGCTCCAACCAAATTCCCTCGGCATTCGTTATCTTCCTAAGCTTATTTCTTACTGATTTTCCTTTTGCCACAACATGATAAAGCTTAGCGTTCCTTTCCCTTTCCAAGGCCCATCTTATATTTGCTTTTTTGCTTCCAATATAATTCCTCCAATCTCAAAGTTTTGTTTAACTGCTTCTATGCCAAATCAAGGAGTTGTTGATTATGCTCAGTTGGAGTATGATCCATCTCCTTTTCTGCCTCCAATAATTTCTCCTCCTGCACCTTTATTGTCTAAAAAATATTCTCAAAAACATTCTTATTCCACCATCTCAAATGAGCCTTCATATTCTTGAGCTTAATGAATACATTCTGAATTGGATTATCTGAAAAATGCCCACACTATTTATGCTTAATCAGATGCAAAAAAGAAGGATGCTCCACCCACATATCCATAAACTTAAAGTAAGAAATCCTAGGTTGCGTATTCTGCTCCACAACTTTAATATGGAGAGGGAGGGCAATGATCGGACTTAGCTCTAGCAATATGACAATCCTCTATACTTTCATAAGCAAGACTCCATTCAGAATTAATAAAAACATGATCTAATCTTTGCCACATTCTTGACCTCCCATGCTGGTTATTACACCATGTATAATTACTTCCATTAAAACCACAATCCATAAGTCCAGCAGATTGCACAAACATATTAAAATCATCCATAGAAGGAAAACTAGGAGTAGCTCCCCCCATACGTTCTGAAGAAGATAGAATTGCATTAAAATCACCCATAAGCATCCAAGGTTGAGAAGAAGCATTAAAATCTAAAAGATGCTCCCAAAGCGGTCTTCTAGGCAAATGATCATAACAAGTATAAACCATTGTCAAAATAAATGGAGTAAAGCCCAAATAAGATACTTGAACAATCATTGATTGAGCAGAAACATCAAGCACCTGAACACTCAATCTATGATCCCAAAGCACCCACGTATTCCTTTCAGTAGAAGGATTTGCAATAAAAGAATTCATATTAAGAGAAGAAGCCACACCTGGCAATTTCAACGGATTTTGCTTAGGCTCCAAGATGGATACCAAACATACATCCTTTAACATAACGATCTTCTTAAGATGCCTCCTAGTAACGTCTTTTGCAGCACCTCTAATGTTCCACGATAAAAAAATTATCATTGAGATGATGGAAGAAGAGCCAAACTCCTAGATTTAGATCTAGTACAAACACCTGAGGGATTAACAATATCTGCACAAACAACATCTAATCGATGCTTAATATCAGAACCCAGAGCATAAATCTCCAAGCTTCCTGCATTGTTGGATGTATCATTTTCAGACTCAAATCCCATATCCGGAGGATCTGGGCTCCTTAACAAACCCCTCTCATCATCCATGGGCAACTCAACAGAGTTCCTAGTAACATAATCTCAATCATAAAAAAAAGTGGAATCCAACGAAGAAGGTGAAGACTGTCTGCTCAGTTGACATTGATAATCCAATTAAGAAGATGTTGTCTGTTTGTTCGATGGGCACTGAAGCATTTCAGACAAATTTTCCTTTTCATTGTGATCTTCTTAAGATGAACCACGTTCATAATCTGTTCTTCAGTAGGGACTGGCAATGGAGATGGAACCTAGGTAGCGACTTCAACATTCTGACATTCATTATTAAATTCTTGCACTTGCTATCTTTGCATCAATTCCTCATTCTGCTGCTTTTTTAAATCAGTCAAAATCTTCTTAGAAGATCGCATATCCTTATCATGACCAGAATTATGCAGAGCTGCATTCTCCTTCTCTGCATTATTACTTGGTTCCTTCGATTTGTCCAATACTTTCCAATATCCTTTAGAAGAAGAGGGAATATTATTTGATGCGTTAGAATAAATTAAAATAAAAGTTTTAAAAACTACATAACTATTAATTTTTTAGTTTTAAACTTTACTATTGATGATGTAAGAGTAAAGAATTTTTACTAAGTATGAGCTCAGGAAGTTAGGTCGGACAATGAGCTCAGAGCTCTAAAGCCCAAGTCCTGAGCGCCTCTTCAATGAAAGATCAGAGGAGTCAAGGAAAGAACAGCTAGTTAACAAGAGGCGCCCATAGAACAACAAAGGGAAGTGATTAAGGCGTGAAACTCTTAACCACCCAAGATCTCCTCCTAAAATCAAGGAGAATCCCGTGGTTAAAGAGCAAGGATCTAGCTAAAAATCCCTTAGAGATACAAATTGTGCTATAAATACTGTACATTGCCTCCTTGAGAGGTGGGAGAAAAATTTGATATCATAGAAGAAACTTTGTAAATCAAGTCCTCCACGAATAAAGATAAAAGGAGCAAGAGCCTCTATTGAAGAGTGGACTAATCGAGCTCCCGAGCTAGTGAACCACTATATTTTTATTGTGCAAATCACCCCAATCCCCTAATGATCTTAAACATGATCCTCGCTAGCCTCATAGCTCATATCCAAATTGTCAAGCATAATCCGTACTCTCTACTCATCCACACCAATTTATACCATCAGTTTGACATTGTCTGTGGGAACTACTGTTCCTGTTACAAATACACTGATCTTTTGGTGACTGATGATCTCAACTCACAACATGATTAGAAGCCAAACAAATCTATCATGAATGTAGGACCAACAGGAAGCTACCAACGACATACAACTTGAGCATGTCCCAGAGACTAATCCTCCCATGGGGAATCCCCCCGTAAATAACGAGTTGGAGGCCCTTCTTTTAGTTAATCAATGTCTGCAATGACATAATGAAGAGCTTTTGAAGCTCTTGCAATGCCCTCAGGAGAAGACCGGCCCAAGAAGGCTAGAATAACCCCCCTCACAGAGAACAACAACACCTCGATCCCCTCAAAGAAGTCAACGATGGAGGAAAAATAGCCAGACTTGGGGTAGGTTCCTCATCTGCCCCCTAGGAATGGACACAATGAAGAAGTACAAAGTCAAAATGATGGGGGGCGAGAGGAATGATTTTTTTTCTTATTAGCAGGAAAGGTGAGAACAGTATTGGGAATAGCACTTTAAGGACATCTAGCAAGAGCTCAGCCACATGAAAGAAGCTATGAGGAGCAAGGCTCCAGTTACAATGGATGCCCTAGTGCAATAGACTAAGTCCCTATTCACCACTGGCGTGCTACATTTTCCCCTTCCTCCAAAATTCAGAATGCCGCAGATAGAGGTTTTTGATGGGACGAAAGACCCCGTGGACCACCTCAATACCTACAAGAACTAGATGGAGCTGCATGGATACTAGGACCCTGTGCGTTACAGAGCCTTTGCCATCACGTTGAAGGGCTCAGCCTTGACGTGGTTTAATAGGCTCCCCTTAGCCTCGATTTCCTTCTTTAAGGAGCTTTCCATATCCTTTGTATCTCACTTCATAAGAGCTCGGACATATAGAAAGCCGAGCTACCACCTATTGAATGTGAAGTAGGGACCCCAAGGGAACCTCAGGTCCTATGTCTAGAGGTTCAATTCGGAGTCACTAAAGTGGACGTCCTAGACGAGAAGTTTGTCATTATTGCATTCATAGTTGGTTTAGGCGTGCAATCTAAAGACTTGATGTTTTCTATTTCGAAGAACCCTCAGGCAAGCATGGCCAAGGTGTTGGCCAAGGCAGAGAAGTACATAAATGGCGAGAAAGCTCTCCTCTCAAAGGTAGGGAACCCATCCACTCAAAAATATAAATGAAAAGAAGAGAAAAAGAGGAATCGAAGTCCCAAAAGAGAAAGAGGATGAGATAGGTCCCCAAGAAAAGATCGAGATCGCTCCCCCAAAAGAAGGGGAGGCGTCAGAGATCCCTTAGGTCCGTCGCAGCCAGAGTTGCAGCCGAGGAATGCACCTTGGCAGCTCCCTCCTCTCACCACAACGATATCGCATATCTTGTATGAGGTGCAAAATGAGAAATTCTTAAGGTGGCCCCCACAGATGAAGGCAAACCCAGCAAAAAGAGATCCCGCAAAGTACTATGAACACCACAGAGATCACGGTCATCGTATCGATAATTGTATCCAATTGAAAAAAGAGATTGAATTCTTGATCCAACAAGGGCTGTTGCGCTGTTACGTAGCCCATGACAATCAGAACCAATCTCCACCACGTCCAGCACCACAACAGCAGGCCCCTATGTAGCATCAGCAACCCTTGGGGGAGATCAGAGTAATATCTGGTGGATTCGCAGGAGGTGGGGAGTCCAATTCATCCAGGAAGGCTCACCTGCGTAGAATTAGAGCTGACAAAGCATTGGAGGTGCACACTGTGCCCAAGGCACCTCGACTGAGTACAACCATGACCTTCTCAAACTCAGACTTGGAAGGTTACCAACATCCTCATGATGATCCATTGGTGGTAAGGGCTATCGTGGCTAAGAGAATTGTTCATCGAGTTCTAATAGACAACAAGAGCATTGTAGATATCATTTTTGCCTCTGCGTTTGACAAAATAGGCATAGGTAGGAAAAAGCTTGAGCCAGTAAGTGCACACCTGTTAGGGTTCGTAGGGTAGAGGGTATTGCCCCCGGGCTCAATCCAGTTCGTTCTCACTATGGGAGATCCTCCCTGCCAGGCTACCACCGTAGTAAGATTCCTGGTGGTTGATACCCCTTCTGCATACAATATGCTGCTAGGGAGACCTTCCCTCAACACAATGAAGGCAATCCCCTATGCCTATCACCTGGTTATAAAGTTTTCTACAAAAAAGGAGTTGGAATGGTCTAAGGAGACTAGCGTGTAGCAAGGGAATGTTACATGACTTTGATGAAGCAGAAAGAAGTTGAAAGTATTCAGTTCGACAAGCTCGACATGAGAGACGAATTGGATACTAGACCAATGCCATCGGAGGAACTAGAGCCTGTTCAGCTTGATGAGGAGCCAAGGCACCTTGTTTATGTCGGGTCAAAACTGAGCAAAGAGATTAAGGACCTCCTCATCCAGTTCCTGAAGGAGAACATGGGAGTGTTCACCTGGAAAAAAGATGACATGGAAGGTATCGACCCCTCGGTTATCACATACAAGTTAAGCGTGAATCCCACCTGCAAGCCTGTTAAGCAAAAGCGAAGAAGTTTTGCCCCAGAATGCCAGAAGGAAATCAATGAGGAGGTTAGCAAACTTCTCCACGCCAAAGCAATTAGGGAAATAGACTAACCTACATGGTTAGCAAATGTGGTTCTTGTCAAGAAGACCAATGGCAAATGGTGGCTATGCATTGACTTCACTTATCTCAATCGTGCATGCCCCAAGGACAGCTTTCCCTTACCTCAGATTGACTTAATAGTGGACGCCACCGCTGGACATGAGTTCCTCAGCTTCATAGACACCTTCTCAGGCTATAATCAGATTAGGAAGGATCCAACTGACCAGGAGAAGACCTCCTTTATGACTGAATATGGAACGTACTGCTATCAGGTCATGTCTTTTGGGTTGAAGAACGCTGGAGCCACTTACCAGTGCCAGGTGAATCAAATGTTCCAAAAGCAAATTGGGACATCCATGGAGGTTTATATCGACGATATGTGTGGTAAAATCATTGAAGGCAGAGCTCCACATTGCCTATCTAGCCGAATTATTCCAAGTCCTTAAGGAATACAAGATGAAACTCAACCCTGCAAAATGTGCCTTTGGAGTATCTGTAGGGAAATTTGTAGGCTTCATTGTCAACAGTAGAGGAATTGAAGCTAGCCCAAAAAAGGTTAAGGTAGTCCTAGATATGCAGTCGCCATCTAATATAAGGGAGATCCAACTTTTGACAGGAAGAATAGCTGCCTTGAGTCGTTTTGTGTCTAGATCGAGTGATAAGTGTCAACCTTTCTTTCAAGTCTTAAAGAAGGCGTTTCGGTGGGATACTCGGTGTGTGAAAGCATTCAAAGCTTTAAAGGATTACCTGAGCTTCCCTCTAGTTCTGGTAAGCCCTTTGGAAGGGGAAGTACTTACTCTTTACCTAGTTGTCTCAGATTTTTTGACCAGTGCAGCACTAGTAAGGGAGCGAGATAGAGCTCAGCAACCAGTCTACTACTATAGTAGAGCTCTGAGGGGGGCAGAGGAGAGATATAAAAAAATGGAAAAGCTTATTTTAGCTTTGGTGGTTGCGACTAGGAGACTTAGACCATACTTTCAGGCTCATACTATTGAGGTTCCGACGGAACAGCCAATGAAGCAAGTACTACATATACTAGAGTCTTTAGGGATGCTAGTTAAGTGGGCTATAGAACTCAGCGAGTTTGACATCAAGTACAAATCGAGGGCTGCAATTAAAGAGTAAATTCTGACAGATTTTATTATAGAATTCATGACAGCAGCACCAATGGAAGCAAAACAACTAGTGTTTGACTTCCCCACATGGAAACTTTCAGTAGATAGAGTTGCCAATGCTTAAGAAAGCGGT